AGATTTTCTCACATTTCCTGCCGTTTAACATCGTCTTTGTAGAGTGCAGACAAAGCCCACGTTCCGTTCTACTGCAGACATTGTTCCAATGAAGGGCAGATAGAGTACCGCGGCGCGGTCTGCAGGCGGTACCACCACCAATATATGAGCCTGGCCCTGACGGCCTCCGTGCTCAGGCGCTCGGGTCCTCACATTCCAGCGGCTTCATCTTTCCACTGTACTGTCAATATAATGTTAGAGTCTAAATTCCAATATCTCGTATCTCTCCATTCCTAATTATTCAGGGCAGTAATCAGGTTTTCGCTAAGGGAACTAATACGATCACATCTGGTTGATATATATTATATAATATAATGTAAGATTATGAGACAAAACCTGTATTGTTTTTTGTGTTAACGTCAGGTACGTGAGATTGTCTGATTGTGAGAATGTTTCTTTATCTTATGCCGCTGTTTTTAAATACTCAAATGCGGGTATGTGAGTCTCAAGCCTGCATAGTTCGAATACTACCCACATCTAAGGGTAAAGATTACTGTTACACTTAAGTCATAAAAACTATGAAATATGTGACAACGCCTAATCTGAAAATTTAAAAAATTCACGAAATTTATCGTCCATTCTATTACCGAAATACAAGCACATTCGCGAATTAACACCCGAATAATTTTTAACCTTAAATTAGGACTTCTTTAAATAAATTAATCAATGAATTTTACGACATGACAACAACTCAGATTCAAACATTCGATACCCTAATCGTAGGACAATTTAGCGGTTAATAAACCTATAAATTGCCATTATCTAAACGAGTTTTCCTGGAACAAGCTTCCTGCTGCGACCCCGTGGAGTTAGGCATTGACGTGAACCGGGCCCCAGTACTACCTTTACCCATGTCTTTTCTCTACCCTTCCAATTATAATTCTCAACTCATGACAAAATACTCTTCTCTGGAGAAAGGTGTATAAATTTCCTCTTCTACTATAATATCGGACCAGGAATGCTTTGGCAACATTTAGCTATTTTGGCCAAGATTCCCGGCTACCCCTCCACTTATATGATTTCATTATAGAGTAGCTGTGTAGCGAGCTACCCATCCCAGTGTATTCTAAGCTATAAATATAAAATATAAGGCGAATTTATAACACACGGTGGTCATCTTATATTATATTGTAAACTCTCGGATCTGTTCTCACCACATTCCGGGACTGTTCCCCACACATTCCACGGCTTGTATTTCAGATTTTTAACCCGGATATGACGGTTAAAATTCCCCGGAATTCGCGCTCCTTGGTCACTAATGAGTGTGAGTCAGGGCAATCACGTGACTTGTACACGCGGAGTAGACACACACACACACATATATATAATGTAGTGCTCACTGAATCTAATGTAAGGCTATAGTGTTAAGGCTTCACTCTCTATAATAATAATGTAACACTATTATTCTCGAGACTCCGGGTCGGGTGGTGTGGTCGAGTTGTACAAGTCACGTGATACCTGACACTCGTGTTATACACACACACACTCACTCACTCACCGAGCTGTAATGCTCTTTCCACCCTGATTCATACTTTCACCAATGACCTTTCAGATCGCATTAGATAATCACAAATTTCATTAAAATCAGATTTATGTCGCGCATATTGATGAAGATCGGATTAGAATAGTGAAATGCGGTGAAATAAAAGTGAAATACTGCCCGATCTACAGTAACAGCAAATGTTTATCTATCACATTAATTTCCGAGCCAGGAATCTTTATTATGTGCCTCTCTATAACCTACCATTGTCATGGATCGGACAGACCCTATCGCTCTATTGAAGCTATTTTCAGCCGACAAATGCGGCACAATTATTGCAGTCCGCACCCAGGAAACGTCATTACCCCAAATAACACATACGGTCAATTTTGCATTAACTTTCTGATACAGGATGGTAAGTGATAGAAAGTATCGGCGAGACTAAATCACTCCTAGGACCAGGCTAACCCATGTCCAGTTGGACAAACACATATAATATGTGTACCGGTAGATATCGGAAAATTACTTGCATTAAAAACCTATTAGAGTGGCTCACCTCCCAAATATATTGTCTTTAATGACCTTAAATCTTTAAATATAGAGCAACGATGAAGTCTTGCAATTGGTACAGCTTTTAAAAGTTCCTTTTAAATTCTGTGAGTATCAATCACACACAAGTACATTTAAAGGGTTGTTGTAAGCTATAGAGAGAAGGAGAGATCTTACAGTGGAGGAAGCGGGATTGGGTTACCAACCATATTAATCATTAAGACAAGTATTTAATAATGTGCTGTGAGATATTATTGTTAGATGTAAGGTACTTCTGGGTCATCATATTATTATCACGGACTTAATCTAATGTTAAACCCTTCTCTCGTATTAGCTCAGACTAGTGGAATTATTATGTTAGTTTCCATGCTATCTAAACTTGTTGCGAGACTTGCTTCCATATACAGTAACTTCATTCGAAGAAGGAAAAATAACGAGAATTCTCAGAAACACGCCTCTCGAACAGGAGTGTGAAAATGTCGCTTCTCGAGAAGAGGCAATAACAATTTGTTTTGCCACGTGACCGTAGCTTGTCATACCACGCATAGTTACAGAATCTCACGTGTCAAAACAAAATGTTTCGCCTGCCCGCCATGCAGTGTAAGCAACGTCGGTATTTGGCACTCACCCTACTCAACATCCCAGCCTCCATTTCTGCTACACATCCCCTTAAATACCTGACGTTTGTAACTCTGGGTCACCGGTCACGTGACAACATAAAACATGCTAAATTTCACGAATACCCCATCCACTCCCACATGCCATACTGATAAACATAATGTAATTAGCGAGAGGTTACGTTGTGCATGCTTACATTCGGCTGCCGATAACTTAACCGGGATGAAATGGGATATGCAGTGTTTTGAGAGGGTAATGTTTAGGATGCTGCCCCACCCTTAGCAGTCAAATTAGGCCGTAATTTGGGAGAGCGAGAATATGTGAAGTATAGCGGAAGACAGGAAGAGTGTGGCCGTGAAATTTTGGTTTGTGATCACATGATCTATTCTAGGTCTTTGTCTGAAGTGAAATTTTCGGGTCAAATGTCTAAACATGTAGAACCACCATTTATCATCCGCCACTTTGTCTTTAGTCACTGTTCGAAATGTGAAATTCAGCGAAAGTGTGTTGCAGTGAAATGTGAAATCACGCTGAAGTGTGTTGCAGTGAAATGTAAAATCTCGTTGTGTTGCCGCCCTTTCATGAGATGGTAGGTAATGTTCTGTTGTAAAGGAATGCAGGACTGTAATAGGTGCGTGTTGTTGGATTCAGAATATTCTAATGATTAGAGAGGATTAATTATTCATTAGATTAGGATGCCTGGTATCCGCGAATTCCTTGAATAGTTGCGGTATTAACAATAAATTTACCGATTGAAACTTAGTATATAACATCTCTCGTCTTAAGTTTAGCCCCGCGATCTTTTCAGTCATCATTTTTTAATAAGTACATAACAGAGCTATATCGCCGACACCTTAATTTTGCATTCCAACGCAAATACCAAAACTGCGACGGTGGGTGACACTTGTCCATTAAGCCAATTTGTTAACAACTGTTACCAGATGTAGAAAACAACGCTGACATTCCCAGCAAAAAGCCCGGAGTTCCTCGGTAACATTCCAGGAATTCTTGAGTCCCATATGACAGTTTAGCACAATTGTGTCATGATAATATGTCGCGGCATATTTTCATATCTTGTGACAGTACAATACTACTTGACAACGTCTTGTATGAGCCGACAATCGAAAGGAAATGAGTCTCCACCGAGCGCCACACCCATGCAGCTCCCTCATATCATGAACATCGAACAGCATGTCATATCGCTACGAAAAAGATTCCATACTCCAGAATTTGTTAGTCTGTCGAGTGTTGACGAGTTGTTGTGACCTAATACTTTAATCGGTTTTCATACCTTAGCATACATGTGGGCACTTAAATCATCCCTGCTACTAATTAACCCCATTCCATGTTTTGGATATTATGTCCAGTACAAAATGTTGCGCCCATTGTGCGTTGGTTCGTTATAGCAACCATGATTGCTGCTTCTATTTTTGGTCTTTGCATAATTTATATGATTACAAAGTACGGTGTGGGTGCGTGAGCTGAAAGTGTGTAAAATGTCGTATCAAGTTACGATTGAAGAGTGTGTTTGGGTGTGTGTGATGTTACCGTGTTAACTTGAATTGTAATACGGAACGAGTAAAGTGGTAAATTACGCAACTTCGTTCGAGATTACCATTTAATTTTGCGGAAAGGGAGGTGTGATAATTTAAACTTTATTTCACTGTTAAAATACGCTCACGAGTCGCGGAAGTTGTAAAAATTCCAACTTATTTGAATTAAATCCGGTAGAAAAGAACACTTTCTCACTTCTCAATACCATGTTCACTTTGACATCATGTAATTTTGCTAATTCCAAGGCTAATTCTAATGTTAATTAGACGCCCAATGTTTGATTCGAACTGAAGATGGTGAAATTAATGCCCAGATGCTACGAATTAGTTTAAATTTACGTTGAACAAACTCAATGGTTAAACTCGTTAAGGCGTACTGGTGCATTTATGGAATTGTTCCGCAAACTTTTGAATTATAGCCATAAATCTAGCCATTCACTCATCATGATTGTTGAGCCCCGGGGGCCAGAGGAACACTGGCATTTTGAATGAAAAGCGCAAAGAACATAACTAGTTTTTGTGATTCACGAAAAGTTAAAATACAGCGAGAAAGCACTCACTATAACAGACGCGCGCGTCGCGCGCTCATATCATCCAGCTGATAAAAAACACACTTCCTGGAGTTAAAACGTTGTGATACATGTAAAGTTTGAAGTTTTTACATACTATTAGCGGTTGGACATCTAGTTTGTAAATGTAAAGTTACCTTTATGTTACAATAATGTGCATTTTGAAGCCGAGTCTAACGTGCCACTTTTCAGTAACAGAGACGAGGTAAAGAACCTGTTCAACTCGATGAGTGTGTCCCTGAAAGCGTTGTACCTGACTAACAATTCGGACGGAAATATGTGAGTTTCATCTTAACTACTTTGATAAATACATGCCATGTTAATCAATGTCATGTTTAGTTCTTTAGTTCGGGAAAAGCGGATCAAATTTGTCGGTAAATGCTATCGTTCAAATTTTGTGTTAGCCGCCGAAGAGATGTAAGACTTTGATGGTTAGGGTTTGCTTTAGTTAATTTATGAAATTACAATGTCAGTTCTTGAATGGATGGGCAGCTGTTGAAAAACTGGGTTATAAAATAATATTTAACATAATTATGCTTAAAGAGATATTGGTATCAAGTTGTCTTTTTATCATTTTACGCTACCTTGTCTTTGAAAATTTGGTAATATTTCCAACAGCCAATCTACCATGGCCTCTTCAGTTTGCTGGACGAAGCAATAAACGGCTGCATGAGTGTTACGAGATTACATTTCGATGGCAAAATCACGGATCCACAACTGGACACAATCTCCTCTAACCAGACTCAGCTGACCTGCTTCAACATGGGAAACACGAGGTTAGTTTTAGTTTCATACCCCATGACGGTATGTGAACGTTCCTTGCTATTCAACAGGTTCCTATCGATACGCAGCCTACCCTTATCGTCATTACACGGGTTTTGTCAAAAGTTTTAAATTATTTGTGTAGTGCTCACAAGACTTGTGCTTACTTAAAAGGTATACCTATAAGTACAGCACAAATACATTTCATCTCGACAAGTGTTAAGTCTCTCATATATAAATCTCATGTATAAATATCCATTTCAGAGGCTTGAATCCCACCCAGTTCTACGAGATTGAATCAGTAAAGTGTCTCACATTTAACGCAGCTGCACTGCGAGTAGACGAAATTGCCAGTATAGGTAATAAAATAAGTGCAATTTTTTGTGGATTCCAATTTGCGAAGACGTACTTTTTTGAATCCTCACAAATTAAGTCGGATTCAAAGTTAGGATCCGGTAAGAAATAAAAATGTCATGCTAATTTTACCATTTCAGTGGAGTGGTTCCCCAACCTTAGGAACCTTCACATTAAAAACGGAACAAGTCTCCACAGTCTTCACGCCAAGACCGTTTTCTGCAGTGCAGACCAGCTTTTCACCTTGAAACTTACCGATACTTACATAACTCCTCGAGCACTGCTGTTCTTACTTTGTAAGTATTTACTCCTATTTTATAAGTTTTTATCCTTCTTGATTTGTAAGTTTTCGCTCCTGATTTCTAAGTGTTTACTGTTCTTATTTTGTATGTATTTCTGGGCAAAATGTTGAGAGATTTGTTGATTTATCATGTGTTGCTGGGAGCTGGCTCTTTATTGGCCGACTGGTGAGGTTTCCTGCTTGATCTCATGATGAGCAGGACCGACAATGAATATTCAGATATTTGGACAACGTCAGAGACTTAATAAATCAATTTGTTTAGCTTTACACACTGCAAAATATTAGCTAAGTCTGGAAAACAAGCTCTGCCAAGAATGATCAAGATAATAAATATATTCAAGACATTAAATATAATCAGAATTAATAATGATCTATAATTATAAGTAATAATTATCTAACTAATTTTACCAGGCACGTGTCGTCAGCTCAAGAAAGTTCAGGTACACTTCTCCGCAGCATTCACCATCAACAATAACTTTGAGAGCAACTATAGGGCTACTATACAGGTACAGTTTTGCGAGCTAATTATTGGGCGTTTTACCCTTAATAATTACCGGAAGTTATTAGAAAAATAGAAATAGAGTTACAACTTAGAAGTACTCATTCGGCTTGAAGAGGATAATACAGATAATCATACAGTAAGTTGAAGACCGTACAATCTACATAGCGTCATAGCTGTCTGAATTTATATTTCTAACATACCAATTTCAGTGTATCACTGGACACAGCCTGTTCCAGAATATCCTGACCGTCTCGTTTGAAAGTCCGAAGAAGCCAGCTCGATCCTCAGCCACTCGCCCTTCCCTCCCGAAACTAGCTAATAGACACTCCGCAGCAACTAAACGTTGCAGCATTGACACCTTGCTCTGACTCTGTTAACTGAGTATCAATCGGAAATTTATATCGGTAAATTTGGCTAAAGTTTTTATGAAAGTTGCCAAGACCTGCACAGGACAAAAGACTAAAGATGATTTGAAAATGTTTGAAACAGTTTAAAGAAGATAGCATAATATGATGACTTGACTTTGTAAAAAACATTCTTACTTGAAAGCTTGTGTTTTGACAAGAGACAAAGAATTGGGATGTATAATGTATTACTTGCATGACGTTTTTATATTGCTAACTAATAATAATATCTAATTGTTTGTGAAACCTTGATGAAAAGGACGATTTGAAAAGAGAAAGTTCAGTGTTGAATGCATAATTTTATTCTTTTATTTGACATGGATACTATTAATTTAGAGCACTGAAAGTCGTTCCGAAAAACGTTGTCTTGACCTCTTTTTAATGAGCTCCACCACTTGCTCATAGTTATAGGAGTTAACGGATAAGTTAATTAGTTAAGGGGATCCTCGGCATTCTACATGCAGACATTTTACATTCTTTTTTACATTTAAAGACAATTTTCGACCTGACTCATAATTTTGTACATAATTGGCATTTTTACCGAGCCATGTTTTGATGGTCAAAAAAACTACAAATACTCGAGAATAAAAACACCCTGATCATGTCCTGATCGTTAAAATTTCGACTTAAAAGTGCAAAAGCAAACCATTCGGGCGTAGATCTTAAAAATTCCATATTTTGTCAAAAAATTGATAATTTCGATATTTTTCCGACAATTTGATATTTTCAACACTCATCTGAGTGTTAACAAAAAAAGCAACTAGAATACGTCTCAGATCCCTAGCTAATTTCATCTTTGATACGTTATTTAAATTGACTTTTGTAAGCAACGTGAAACCTTATAACAGGTCAGCCAACACTGATAGTGACTCTTTTAGTTGGTTAAAGCGAAGAATGTAGGTTTTAAGAACAATAGCCATGACTCAATTGGTAATTAAAATTCGAATGTGCGTGTGTTTTATACGAGTTTATACGGAGACTGAATTCTTGTACTATAACATTAACTGCAATGATCCCTCCTTGTAATTGGTTCTAGACTTTAAATTAACAAATTTTGTTTTAATTGTTCTTTGTTTTAATAATCGCAAAGCAGCGCCTCATATAACCTCTTTGCAAAATAAGTGGCGTGACACTGACAAGAGTTAAATAAAATTATGACCATATCGACTTTCCGATCTGATAACTTATCAACATCAGATTTAATCAGTGCTTTGTCAGCCGACCTGCCGATGAGCTGATGTCTCGTAAAGATATTAATCTTAGACCTTAGTACTGCTGTAGTGACTAGACCGTTATCGGCCCAGAGTTTTCCAGTTTGGTCTTGAACAAAAAACGTAGGGCCAGCAAAACAAAAGGTCCAGAAGTCCCCAAATTCTCATTAAAAAAGGATGGCCAAATTGTAAGATATCACATTCTGGTGTACATCTCTGCTGGAAAATTAGCATGGGAAGTAAGAAAATCAAAGGGGCCCCAGAGATATTCAGTAATCAGTAAGGAGTTAATTGTGATCGGTTGATAAAAGAACCATTTTATTAAACTTTTAAAGTCTTCTTAGAATAAATATTCGAAACAACCACATCTTACGGTGAATGCAAAAATATTATACATGTAATAGAATAACAGATTTTAAAATGTCTTAACTTAAATTTAAAAGGTCTTAAGTCAAGTTACTAAAATCATTACTCGTAATTGTTCACTTGATGTTAGTGTCCACTCTCAGTCCATTGCCAACCTTGTCACATTTCCAACTAACTCGTCATTCACTAAAGGGTGCAGAGAATTTCTTTCTCCTGAAAAGACTCTTTGTTATGTTTTAAGACATGTTTCGTTGGCACAAGTTTCATTTCTTATAAATATGATAGGTTTTAATTTATAGAGTAAAATAAAGGCACGCTTTTCGTAGACATGGTATATAAATATAATAAATGATTATATTGGTCCGATATTACACTTTTACATTCGTTGCTAAATTGTAGCTCTCTTATCAGCAGTTTTGTGTGCGCGTTGAATTATCTCTCTGGCTTTGTAGATTTGTATACATTGTTTGTACATTTTCTGTACAACGTGTACGATGCCTTTGCCGCTACAGAATGAACACTTGGATATGCTAGATGATGCTATGGTTATGAATGGCCAGTTCCTTACGGAGTATGTGAATCAGATACACATGGCAACTAACAGTATTTTAAAGGAGATTAGAAGTAAAATCGGTGCCGAACACAACGATGATGTGCAATTTGACAAACTGAACCAGAGAAGTGTGCCTAGAGAGAGGTTATCAGAATGGCTAGAGACAGTGTGCTGTTTGCTGAACGATTATTGTGGTCCATTGTTACAATCTGCCACAGAAACAGCTACCGACAACAGGGTGTTCAGGAAAGAAAAAATAGAAGATGCGAATAAGATCATAGAACTGCAAGAGAAGTTACTCTCTAAACAAGAAGAAGATATGACAAAAATCAGTGATCTGCAGGAGAAGTTAGCTTTGAAGAAGGATGACGAGATTGGAACTGTGAAAAGTGCAGCTCAGAAAGAGATTAAGACCTTTTCGTCTCTGTTGAAAAACACGTGCAAAAACGCCTTTGCACCGAAGAAAATCCAAGCTGCAGTGAAAAGGGTTGCCCTAGAAGAAGATCGAAGTAAAAGTCTGATTATCTTTGGGATTCCAGAGACTGAGGAGAACCTGGATGCTAAGGTATCTGGTATTTTGTTGGACCATCTCAACGAAAAACCAAAAATTTTGAGATGTAATAGAGTTGGAAAGGACACAAGTGTACGAGTCAGACCAGTTAAATTCACTTTGTCAAGCTCAGATCAAGCTCGTACCATCTTGAGCAAGACTAAGTTATTAAGACATGTAGACGGGTTTACTTCTGTTTACATAACTCCTGATAGATCAGCTGCAGACAGAATAGCCTACAAGAAAGTTGTCGTCCAGCTACTCAATAAAAGGACAGCAGAGCCGGACAAAGTTCACGTAATCAGGAACTTTAGAGTCATTAGCTCGGAGAAGGAGCCTTGAGAGTTTTATATTTTCTATAAGTACAATATTATATGTTTTGATTCATTGAATTAATTAATTGTTGCTAGGGCCCAATGTTATTGCGGGTGTGGTATTTACTGCACACTACCGTGTTTTGGTTACCCCTCTCTCAATACATAATTTGGGTTTCGATATTCTGGGATAGTGAAAATTAGGGCTATATCGGTTTTTTCCTTTTATAACTGGGTTTATTTAGATGCATTCAATTCTGTATAATTATGTATTGTTTGAAAAGTTTTAGATAAAAAAAATATGGCAGTTATTTGTCTGAGCTGAGTAAACAGAAACACTTCGAACAGATATATTCATCATCTGGCATCATTTATTTACATTCCGGCTGATACCTCACAATTAGTTTACCTGTGGAGCGAGGAAGCAAGGTAGATCCTCCTCCGGACAATTGTATTTATCAAGGTAGACCTGATTAACAGCATCTTTAGTAAGTTTAGCCGCCTCCTTCATGCCGCTTTTACCGAGTCCTACTCTAAACACATAGGGAATGTGTTCCTGCTCCTCAAACTCTTTTAAGCTCAAGTTTTCATATTCTTTTAGGTTCTTTTTTTTGCATTTCTTCGGCTTGTTCTTTCTTGATCTTTGTTTGATGCGGCACTTCCCTCCAGCTGAAACAAGATGCTTCTTAAATGTGGGAAATTGTGGATAAAAGAGATGCTCTAAATTTGGCTATTTCTAAACTAAATTTTGAATAAACTTCGATGAGTCGATAAAAATGATTTCATATTTTATTTTATGACAACTCTCTTCATTAAAATAGCTTCATCATATTAATATTAACGTTAAACCTACTTGTCTGATGAACGATCTCCAAGATGGTCTTTATTTGTCCTGGCAGGTAAAATCTTTTGTTCTTTATTGTAGCTGGCCTCAGAGATTCCATTTTAAATGTTTCGTTATTTCGAGTTATATGACGACCTACCCCACACCCTTCGGTATCTAGGTTTCGGGAATGTTAAGTAACTTTATTGAATGTAAATAAATGGATACGCATCTTTTTGAGGGCCCCGACGGATAAACTATTTAAATCCCAAAAAAATGTAATACTAATACTCAAGTATATTAATATAGTGCAGTTGACTTTCAATAAGCAGCTTACCGGGTCTGTCATCTTCATCATCCTCCATGTCATCTCCTTCGTTCTCGTCCTCACCAATTTCATCCCATAAATCATCCTCACGGTTATCTTCCACCGAATTCATCAACTTGAGTGAGTTACTCCTTCTTGGCGGGAACAAAATTGGATACACCTCAACAAGTTCATCCAATTCGTCGTCAGGTTTCACCTCAACCTCGTGATCAGGTTCATCTAATAGTAATAGTAATGATATTTAATTTTTCTTGCAGGTTTATACATTATTATAGTTATACGTAAAACGGTTCGAGAAAACCGGTCATGGCAATAACATATTAGGATTAGTATGGGATTAGTATGTATATTAGTATGTTATGATTAGTAATCTTATCTTATTTCATTACCATCAGTCGGCTGAGTAACATTTACAACAACTCCGCAGCCCTTCTTTGCCTCCATTAAAGTAGGCATTTTCCAGATGCACTTGCAGTGAAACGTAACTCCGCAAAAAGTATGGTTCTGATTGCCAGTGCAGTCTGTTGGTCCTGCAAATATGATCACAGTCAATACTACATTTTAAATGCAAATGCGCTTATAAATTGGAATTCTAAATTAAAGTTTTTATACTCAGTTGAACTGGATAAAAATGAATTATTTTATTCAAAAATGTTTTTTATTTATTTTTCATTATTAATATTTGAAAACTGGATCCTAATTCCTAACACTAATTTGTAAAATACCTGGCGCTTTTCTATCTTCGTCCCATCCATATGTGAGTGAGAGTTGCAGAAATAACAAGCTGACAAGTGCTCGGCCCAACATCGTACTTTTTAAATAGTTGTCACATTGTCAATGTCTATTTAATGTAATATAGGAATCATAGAATTGGATTTGGAAGGGGAAAAAACACAGCCAGAGTGCAGAGATGCGAACTGCGAACACAACATTACAATTACAGAAATATTGTTAATTACTATCAGTGGAACTGAAAAATCAACGACCGAATCTAGTGGAAAGAAGATCATGATCATTAACTTGAAGTAAAAAATGACGAAGAAAGACAGGAAAATATTTAATGAGAATGTGAATTTCGTCAGAGTGGCAGCTGCCAACAGCCAACCCTTAAATTTGTTACTGAATTAAATTAGAGGATTTATATATGGGTCTAAACCTAGGACATGGCCCCTCATTGGCGCTCGTGGCCTAGTGGTTAACTACATATTATTAGTGGAGTGCAGCCCAGCAGTCAACAATTTCATGTGTCATGTGGACGTTAAGTTGTTAAGCAGGTGGTCAATCATACGTACGATATTGCCATTCTGGCCAATCAATTATGGCATTGACGCCATTCAAAATGAACGTCAGTAGTATGAACTTCGGTTGTTTTATTATTTGTTGCGAATACAGAGACGTTAAGGCATGGAAATACGATGACACTGTGGCGTTGCAGTGTCCTATAAGTATACTCCCTTTTGGCGGTTTACTATTATATATATATGAGTATGACTCCATTGAAGATGTACTCGTTGGGTACGGACCATTCGGTATTATAAAAAATATAGGTGGTTCATGGTTGAAGCAGGAATGTTGCTATCGTGACACTTGTCGCCAATGGTGCGATGGTGACAATGACGACAGGTCTACTGAGACCGAGACAAAGAATTTGGCTGAAAGTTTAACATCGCAAAAATTCCAACGTCGACACAAACTCCCTTACAGAATAGTAACAACGAATATGAATTATCAGTGAAGTACAAGTTTGATTATCACTTTAAACTCTGAAAGGCTGATAGTAGGATGTAAGCCTAGCCCTTCACAATAAATTCTATTGCACTACAATTATAGATACGGCTCTCCCAGCGGAGAATTTGTAGACACGTGTTTTGATGACGTGATTGATCACAGATCATGATAAAAGCACCGGCCACCGGGACCTACTTCTTTATTCAACTCCATCTGACCGCATTGAGATCTCATTAAACTATACAAAAAATAAGTATAAAGAATAAGGAAAAGGAACGGGAATGAAGCCAATACCAGAAGTGAAACCCCACCATAGAATAATTGATCCTTATGTAGACCTGGTGAAATAAAGCAACTGAACTGTAAGTATAAGAAAAGACGGAAGGAATAAAGGAGAGAGGAAATAATGTTATGTGAACATCATCAGCAGATGACTTGGCACACCGGTTTCGGGGGTTTAACACCTGTACCGGTTTAATGTGCCAAGACCCCCTAGCAATCACTCGTCAGTGATCACCAGTCCACGTTAAATGTGATGATGAGAATTACTTTAAATAATTACTTTCAGTGTAGAAACTGGGTGTGCTGATAAACACAGTTTTTAACCCGAGTGAGCAGATAGTTGTCCGAATTTTACTCAAACTGTTATGATATTTCTCGCCTCACATATACTTTAAGCTAAAGGTTTTGAAATTTTAGAGCTGCTAAAGAAAGGTATTCGACACGAACCCTTGATAAACAGTCACAACTTTTATTAAACTTATTAAAGAAGAAAATAAACAACAAAACGTGTCAGATCTACATTAACCTATCCCACATGGGACTATCACCATTGTTTATGCTCTGTTTTGTAAACCATTAACTAATTCAGAACATTGGCAGAACATGGATAGTAACACCTGAGCTGCATTGTTTGTCATCTGCCATACTGTCTAGTGCAGACGTCCATTGCGGTCCGATCACTCCGAACTAAAGTTTCCTACATTTCTATGTCTAATGAATTACAAATTATATAGACGCCATTTTTGATGATCAGCTATGACAAAGTATATCGAAACAAAATCTAAGTTATCTTACTCGGGAATATTATGACTGGGATAAAGTGGTGGGTTTTGGAAAATTCCGCCATATTTTTCCCGGTCATTAATTTTCCCAGTCTTAAATTACGAGCGTGCTAAATCACTCTACAGAGATTGTTCTAAAAGGGCCCCCGACGGTTGTAACCAACTTCAAACGATGTATTTTCGGACGCTGATTCCGAATCACCCCCCATGACATAGGGTTAAAATGCTCACCTGAAGAGATATTGGCGAAAAACTGTCTCGATCACGTGATATGACCGTATAAGGAAGTTAGTCTAATTTATCGTTAGGGTTAGGGTTTCAGCATATGTTTTTGTTAAGGATTGGGTTAGGGTTAGGGTTGGGATCATATTAGAGGGTTAGGGTTTCGAAAAGTCGTTCAGAACCAGCTAGAGAACGGGTTGAAAAAGTCACGTGACAGTCGAGTGTAAAGTGATTAATCATCATCCCTTAAATTAACCCGCTATAATGTTCCCGAGTAAGGTTAACTAATCTGTAGTAGTGGAACAGCAATACTAAGGTAATGGGACTACTGCGGACCCTCTACCGGCCAAATCTTGTTAACAAAGCCGCAGTCAAGGTTCGGTGAACGGTAGTTAAAAGCGCTTAAGGGACATAAGTCAAATTGGTAGAGCAACTACATGATGTTGCTCTACCAATTTGACTTATGTCCCTTAAGCGCTTTTAACTACCGTTCACCGAACCTTGACTGCGGCTTTGTTAACAAGGTTTGGCCGGTAGAGGGTCCGCAGTAGTCCCATTACCTTAGTATTGCTGTTCCACTACTACAGAAATAATCCCGATAACACTCGACCTCTGCCTGATCCAGAGGAGATCACCATTTTACCTTCACACAGACATCGACCGCTGTACGAAGATGACGATCAGACCTCATTAAGGTTATATGTACTAATAGTAATACATTTTGATGCTTGGTGGGTTTTGGAAAATTCCGCCATATCTTTCCCGGTCATTAATTTTCCCAGTCATAAATTAACCCGCTATAATATTCCCGAGTAAGGTATGTCCAGCTATTGCACAACTGCGAGGGCAATACTTTCAGGATAGTTATTACCTCTCCATCAACGACATCATTAACAACCAGCATATTACTTAATTACTACTATTGTCAACTTCGCAACTCGCAATAAGCACCGGTTGTTGTGCCCAAGGAACTGGACCAACCCGGAGTGACCTAATGTATATTCTCGTGCTGTTTATCTCATTATCACTGGTTAAGCGGCAGACTGGTTATCATCCTTTTGGCATTCGGGCATTCACTAATTCCCCTTCATTCCACTTGCCACTTCACCTCCATCATCTTCACATAGATAAAGATTCCCCCGGCATCCTCCTCCTGGAGGGTTGCCACACCCCAGAGGTAGGCAAATCATCTTCGAGTTCGTGCTATCCTTTTGTGGTCCAGCCTCTTAAAAAAGTTTACGATGAAAATGAATGATTCGGAATGTTAGAACTTTAACTATAATTCACACGGACCTCTAAAAACGGAACAGTAAATAAATGAGTTATGAATGACTAAATAAGTAGAACTAGAATGGGTGTGTCGCACGTGCAAAGATCGAAAAGTGAAGTTCTGTTGGATGATAATCGATGTAATTTATTCAACCGTGCTTTTATCGGCCTTCAAAACGAGCCCTTTATGTCATAGTTCATCCCACGTGACACCGGTAATTGTCCATTTACGGACTATCTGTCCTGGATATAAAGGTTCCAAACGTGATCTGTCGTCCAAAATAGAAATAGTAAACATGCGCCATTTGTTATGGCAGGACCAGACGTCCGGTACTGAACATTATCGATAAGAAAAAAAGTTGCAGAATCGATGTTTTTAAAGCGTTTTCCAATGGAAATAGATTTTTTTTCAATGATTATCTTCTTTGGCTCTCCGATAATTCGAAGTATTGAAGCGTCTCCGTGGTAATGACTAATGAACAAACGATCAGTGATGACAATAGGAGACCCACACCTGCGCATACAGTTATTGTTATCAAACTCTCCGCGTGCTACCATCTTTTATATATTTAAATGGTCATGACAATGGTTTGGATTTAAGGTGGGGTCAAGCTGCTGGTCGTAATACTATTGCGAAATAAATCTTAACCATTAACTATTGCTACTTGCTTTTTAAATTTCAACAATAATAAATTCGGTTGTTTATCAACAGAGGTTTCTGATTTTAAATTCTAAATAACACATTCAAATTTAAAAAGTAGACAAGAAATTATGTGGTTCCGCACCCTAATGTAATTGTAACCTCTGTTTATCAATAATCCGTGTTGAAACAAGAAATATAAGCATAAAAATAAAACAAAAGTTCGCCTTCACTTCGAACATCAACTCAATCAAATGGAAAATTTTTTTGAGCATTACTTTGTATAACTATAATATGTAAAAATGCTACACATACAATTCATTATTCAACGATTAGTATTAGTATTACATTCCAAACATATCCTCTTCAGGATGTCTTCCCTTTCTTCCCCATGAGCTTTGCAAACAGTCCACTAAAGAATCTGAAAGATTATTATAAATTTGTATTGTAACTCTTTTGAAAAATCATATTTGACATAAATAATAAATTGTAAATATTTAAAAAGAGATCTAATAAAATAAAATTGACTGTAATTGTCTTCTTTCTCATAATGAGACAAGGGGAATTAAAATAAATATACAACTTGCTAGCGGACAAAACACAAGAATGACCAATCCTCAAATTGCATCGAATTCAATGTATTCTATTTGGAGTTTTGATTTGGGAATTTCAAATAGTGGCAATGTTACTGTTTTAAACGATTATTGAATAATTTTAATTTTTAATCAAACAAACCCCGATGCTGTAAATGGAGTTGGTCTCTTTTTCTTCCGCTTTTTACTCCTCACAATTTTCTGTCCCCTTTGAGTGCCTCTTCCGTCAATAATCTCATCCTCTGAAGCTTCGTTAAAGTCTGAGTTACCTTTAGAAATTGTCAAGTTTCTTCCTACATCATCTATTTCTAGTTTACGTTTAGTTCCACTTTTAGTGCGAGGTTTAGTTACTGGTCCAGCGGCTGAATGAACTGAAATTAAATTGTTGGATTTTTCTGCCTGCAGGCTTATCTGATCTTCTTCGGGATCTTTTATTTTACCGTGGCTGTCCCCATTCTGTTTTAAGTATTTCTCCTCGTCAAGACCTTTTCTCTTTTCTTTCGTCTTTTCTTTTGTCTTTGACAGCTTCTCTGGTGACACAATCTGCCCATCATTTGTAACTTTGATGTTTTTCAGCAGCTGCATTTGCCGCTCCTTTTTCTGTCTCTTACTGCCTTCAATTTCTGTTATGACTTCCTGTTTATCTTTCATATAAACATCCTGCATCTTTTTCTTTGTTTTCGAATTCGAATGTTCATTTAGTTTTATTATTTCATTATTCCTATCATCCTTCAAAGAATCGGAGCGAGTTGAAAGCATTTGATCTTTTGAAGTTCCTTTCATTTTCTGTCCGTTATTTTGTTTCCTTTCCCGTTTCTTTTTCTGTTGCTTCTTCCGCTCTCGTGTACGTTTTCCCCCGGGAATTTCTGCAATGACTGTAAGATTAGTTGGCAACTTGGATTTCTGTTTTCTCTCATCCTTTTTTTGTAATTTTTGTGGTTTCTCATACTTCTTCTCAGGTTGGATTTTCGGGTTGGCCAGCTTGAGTGTATGTCCTTGTCTTTCCTCTTTCTTATGATTATTTTTCTGTGTATTTGCTAGATTTTCTTTACGATGTTGTTTATGTTCTCTTTTCGGTGCCTCTTTTTCGTTTAAGACTGGTGGACGAGTTTTCAGCGTTAATATTTTTTCTTGTTTTCGTTTCTGCACTATCATAATTCCATTTTTCTGACTCTTTTCCTGCTTTCCTTTTGAGACTTCCCAATTGGTTTCCATCCTCAATCTCCGCTTCTTCCTTTGTTTAGCTTTAATTGACACTCTTTTAGTGCACGAAAACTGGTGGAGTTTTACAGTATATTTGCATTTCAGTTCCTTTAACTGACAATATGAGTTGTTGCGTCTGTGACAGCTAATGTGGCTGCAAAACCTAACACTCCTCTCCAAAGTTGCACACCGTTTCCTCCTTTCATTCTGTGCCCAACTCCTGCACTGAACTAAATCACCTTTGTGCTCGATCTTACATCTTCGCACTGCTCTTATGTGACATTCGTACTTCTTTCTGAGATGACATTTTCTGATGTGGGCTTGGTAACAAACAGAGAATACCTTCTGCGCTTTTCCGCAAGGTGACTTGTTCACTTGCTTTACCTTTTTCTCACAGTGCTTTGCTTCAGATGATATGAGTTGTTGACACGTTGAGGATGAACTGCCTCCACACTCTTTTATAGATTTTTTTATTCTTACACACATGATTCCGGAGTAAAACCTAAAGAAGCAAATACTTTGTAAAACCATCTGTCTGTCCCGACATTTTTTGTCCTCACACGACACTCTGATATTCTTGGTACATTTCTGGTATTGGATGAAGAGTTCCTTGTTTGTTGGGGTGATTTTGACCACTACTCCAGTCGAATTTTTTACCCTGGTTAATCTTATTGAAGGTTTGTGATGAGTTGCAGGGCTCAACTTTTCGCCAAATGATATTGACGGTTTTTCGTTTTTGTGTCTCCCGGATGGTACAAGTTTAGTTTTTGCTTTTATCTTCGAGCTGGAAGTTGAAGCTGTTTTTGGCAGTTGAGTTTCAGGCTTAGGTTCAACTTTCGGTTGAGATATGGTGTTGGGTTTTCCTTTTCCTTTTGCTTTGGGTTTCGGTTTGGGTTTTGGTTTGGGTTCGGGTTTGGGTTCGGTTTTGACTTTAACGTTTGGCTTAACTTTGAGTTTGGTTATGCCTATGGATTTTAACTTAGGGTTGAGTTTGGGTTTGGGTTTGGGTTTTGGCTCAAATTTGAGCTTAGGTTTGGCTTTGGGTTCTATTTTAATTCTAAGTTTGGGCTTGAGTTTGGATTTGGCTTTGGATTTGGCTTTGGTTTTGGCTTTGTCTTTGGCTTTGGCTTTGGCTTTGGCTTTGGCTTTGGCTTTGGCTTTGACTTTGGCTTTGGCTTTGGCTTCGGGTTTGAGTTTGGGTTTGGCTTCGGCTTTGGCTTTGGCTTTGGCTTTGGCTTTGGATTTGGCTTTGGTTTTGGTTTTGGTTTTGGTTTTGGTTTTGGTTTTGGTTTTGGTTTTGGTTTTGGTTTCGGCTTTGGCTTTGGCTTCGGCTTTTGGTTTAGGTTTAGTTTTGGCTTTGGTTTTGGGTTTGGCTATGTCTTTGGCTTTGGCTTTGGCTTCGGGTTTGGGTTTGGCTTTGGCTTTGGTTTTGGATTTGGGTTTGGGTTTGGGTTTGTCTTTGTCTTCGGGATTGGGTTTGGGTTTGGGTTTGGGTTTGGTTTTTGCTTTGGTTTTGGTTTTGGCTTTGGCTTTGGCTTTGGTTTTGGCTTTGGTTTTGGCTTTGGCTTTGGGTCTATCACTAGGGTTGTCTTTGGTTTTGGCATTGGGTTTATCACTAGGTTTTGCATTATGTTTTTTATGTCTATGCTTCTCGAGTAAATGGTGGTGTAGTTGTTTACGATGAGAGAACCTACCCTGATCATGAAAATGTTTCGAACGCTTACAACAGTGTCTTTGATGCCTGATCAGTTTGACACATATCCCAGTATAAACCCCCAGACACTGCTTTATATCAGTAGTACCTTTACCAAGACAGCTCCTTATTCTTCCGTTGCACTGAGCAGAGTATTTTCTAGTGCTGGAGCAGCGCAGTGTTGTATTACCACATTTTGGGTATGTTACCTTTTTATGTGTCTGATGTGGCTTGCGATGAAACCCACAATGGTAGTTTCTGCGAGTGAGGCGTAGTACTTTTTGGCAAGTTGCCAAATGGCTTTTAGAGCAAAGTCGTAATTTTCTTAAGTCATATTGTCCTCGCTTACAATATTGATTCAATTGTATGCATTTAGCACGATAACGAAACATTTTTTGGCAAAATTGTACTTTCCTAAATTGTGTTCGTCGATGCCGGAAACGGTTCTGGTCGTTTGTTTTGGTTTTGCCTTCAGTACAGGATTCCATAACTTGGAGAGCTTTCTTGCAGACCATAAAATATCTCACACTGCACACTTTCCGGCTTGAGTGATAATCGGACTTACAGAACCGAATCAGTTTGACACACTTTTGACGGTAAACCATCATCCTTCTACAGACTTTGATAAACCGACTATTTGAAATGGTGTGGTTATTTATAGGAGTCGATGATGAGGAGGATTTCTGGCACTGATCAACAACTCGGACTAGTTTCTGACAGACGCTCACGTATCTTGTACTACAGGTATAACCAGGCTTCCTACAAAGAACCAGAACTTGTAGACAGCGACTCTGATACAGCATTAAGTGCTGACATTTCCTTTTCCTCTGAATCATGTGACAGAGCCTGGCTATCCTGAGGACTCTTTTGCAGAGAACCACGAGCGACCTTTTGCAGTTGCTTCCTATACTGCAGTCGGAGACAACAAATCTACATTTAAGGGTGTTTCTCTCCAGTCTGTTACACTTAGCAGGAGTGAGTCTCGTATTTTCTCTGGTGTAAGCTTTTGAATTAGATCTGACCCTTCTCCAGCATCTCAAACTAACCCTCTTACAGGTTCTCAGATCATAGTGCCTGCAGCACCTCCGGTGCAACCTTCTGCAGAGTTTCTGCCTTCTAATCAAACTTTTATTGGGTAATAAATAAGTCACAGTTGCTTGTTTTTTACAGTGTCTGTGTTTGATTCTGCAATGAAGTCTGCTTCTCGTTCTATCGCAGCGAGTGTAGAGTTGAGAACATTTTAGTAATTTTCTGCACGTAGAATAGCGCGCTAGACAAGTTGTTATACTGTACCCCCGACCCCTGCAAATGTGATACTTCGCGGCACATGGTTTGTAGTGTTTGACATCCGTTTTGGTGGAACGAGAACAGTGCTTCAGGATGTTGGAGACCTTCCGACAAGAGCGACGGACTCGCTTACACGTGTTTGATTTGGAAAATCTGCATCTGTTCACCAACCTCATACATTTGGAACGATAGTATTTCAACCGGTTGAATGTCCTGGAGTTTGGACATTTCAATCTGACTCTCCTTTTCAGAGGGCACCTCCTTTTCACGACCGCGTACTTCTTGCACGGGATACCGTGGTAACAAGAAGTCTTTATAACTCTCGTCGAGTAACATTCTCTTTTCTTCCATTTAGGAGTAATCCGACAGAAATATCTTCCTCTTAGCTTCACAAATGTACAACGCTGAACATGGTGTCTGGATACAATCCTGAAGCTTGGAACACGTCTGAGTCGCCCTGATCTGTCTCTGGCGTAGATCTTGAGATCTTGAGAGTTGAGGTTGATTGTTGAGATGTCATGGACAAGAACTCCACGACAGATACCATGTTGGCAAACCAGAACAGCCTTGCTGTGTAATCCTGTCACCTGATCTGAAATGTTTTTGTGACTAGTCTTTTTGTCAGCCACTGAAGTCTGAGTCGCCTCGGTTTCTCGAAGAAGGAATGTATTATACTCCTCCTTCGATAGGCTGGTGCAGGTCAGAGGCCAACTGAATAACAACTTAAAATTTAACTTAAATCTACATTCAAGATTAAATCGGTTTACGGCTTTGATAGTTTCTTTTTAAATTAAGTTTCGAAATTGGTCGGATATAAGTTATAACAGCATAACTGCTGATAAATAGGTAAATAATATAATCTTACCATAACCGAGGATTATTAGAAATAAAAATGAGTAGACTTTTGTCCATGCTACCATGTTAGCTGCATCGTATAGGAGCTGTACTACATTTTACCAGCTGTCAAATTCAATACTCTTTTAGAAATTCTTATAAAACGAGTGGATACTTGAGTAAAACGCAGCTTTGACAATGAACCCCTGATGATTCAGAAACTTACTAAACAGTTTAGAAATCAATCAAAGTTAAACGAAAATCACCAATTAGTTAGTACATTGGCAAACAAACATTATGGTATAGGCAGCCGCTGTCATGTCCTTGATAAAACTAGAAAGCATAAAAGTCTCCAAGCAGTGTACATTCATACAACGTCGTGGTGGACTTTGTCAATTAATTAGTCACTGTAGTAGGATCAATGGTAAATCTGGTTCGGATAAGCGAATGTCCGTTTTCTAGAACACTGAGAACTCTTGAGTGATAACAGTTTTCCCCCCGTTACTCGTATTTTCTAAATTTATCAGCTGAAACACTTTTTCTGGTTCTGCTTGTATCGGTTAACAATTCCCTTACAGCTCTCTGACCTTTTGGAGCAATACTCCTTTCCCTTCTTGTCCTTCACCCTTCGGCACTTTTCGATCTGATCCAGGCAACTCACAGTACCGATAAGAAGTGTTTTACAGACCGCATTATTTCCACTTTTTCGTCCAGATCTGCTCAGTGTCTCGGTCTTCTCCGGCTTGCTCTGAGCACAGTTGTACTTACCTTGTTGGTACAGCTTGACAACCGTGGTACAAGGCATCCTGATATCTTCAAAACAGAGACTCCGGGCATCACCCTCCAGTTCATTGCAAGACATCAGACTCTGGTGACAATACGACCGAGCAGAGCTCAGCACTCCACACATACCTACATCTCCAACTACAGCAGGTTTCTGAGACTGACCACCCTCAACCTTACCTCCATGTTTGTGATAGAAACACTCCACATACTGCATACTGAGATAGGCACATTTCAACTCCACCTCCTTTTCACAGGTGGCTTTCTCTTCCTTGGTCTGGGCACGTTTGCAGTGCTGGAACATGACGTAACATTTGATTTCTCCCCGTTCTACAGCTAAACAAGACTGGGATATCACTGGGTTCATACTCTTACCCTGGCAGAAGTGTTTGGTGAAGTGAAGTTTCGTGATACACTCGCCGTAGATTTCCCGGAAGCATTTTCTCTGTTCAGCGGGATCTTTTAGAGAGTTGCACGTGTCTACCTCCACTCGGCACTTTGAAACACCCATCGCTGTTACTTTGCATTGGTGAAGGTTCTTTGGGACTGAACATTTAGCCTCGATAGCTTGTTCGGCCTGTCGACCCAGTAGGTTTGCTTGGGATTTTACCCTGCATCTTGCATCATCATGGTGCTTCGTACAGTGGACTACAACTCTCGCTGCAATCGCTTGAGTCAACACCAAACGAGCACATAGTTTATCACGACGCTTATTCAGCTCCGCTTTTCCAGACCGGTTGGAGTAACATTTCCCGTTTCTAAGACAAAACTCCCTGATGATGAGTTTGCAGGTGGCAACATCCTTCGTCTGACAGACAACTGAGTGTTTTATCTGCGACAGATCGTCTAGCTGATAACAAACTCTCTCATCTCCCTGACCCACGCAAGTGTCTCCTTGTACCTGGTCCTTGTTGAAGCACAGAGCGCGGTTGAGTTTCTGAGAGTAAGCACACACTCGGTCTTGTAAACAAGTCACGCGCTCACCTGATACCTTCCAGCACTTCACCTTAACTGTGTTGTGGTCCTCAGATCCCTGAACACATACCACCCCCTTCTTTGTTTTCTTGCACGAGGTGGAACCCTTTATTGCGGTTGTGTCGCAGTGGTATTTTCCAGCCTGGTACTTGCAGTTCTTGATGAAGTTCTTGGAGACGATCTTCAGTGTGTTGGCGCGTTGCATCTGTCCTTCTTGGTTTCGTGTGTACACGTTATCCGAGTTTAGATTAATTGATGAAATATCCCGAGCGTTTTTGCATTTTCCTTCTCTGCACACGACGATAACTTTCTTGTGATCTTGTTTTGATGTGGCCCCTGTAAAATGGGTAAAGTTTTAATATGGCAGTCGTGCTATTAGAGTATGGGGTTGATGGCCTGTTAGATGTTCAGGGTTAAGTTGTTAAACTTCCATATGTCTTCGAAATTTATTAAGACAGGCCTTTTGGCTGTTCCGACTTCCCTAATTCTTGAAATAAATGTGCAAAATACACAAGGGAGAACGAACATTTTATGAAACTTACCAAAGACTGCGAAAGTAAGCACTGTCAGGAGACATAGTCGTCCAAACGCCATGACTAGATCAGAGCGACTTCCTCCAATTCTTCTTACTATACTGTCCCTACGATTTATGGATTGATAGGTGAAAAACCCAACTGAGTTATTTAAACAATAAACATTCATAACTGACACAAATATGTCGCCAACTTTGGCCATTATTAACACTGCAAGTTGTTAGTTGGCTACATGTTGGTGAAAAAAAGGTAACAATTCGGAGTTGTTTTAGACATATGACTGCAGAATCATGCCATATAAAATATGCCAAACTGATTATGACCGGAACAAAGACTAAAAAATATGGAAAGTGTCATTAACAGTTATTACACTTGACAGCAATTGAATGTTTAAGTTGGTATCAACGTAATGTACAGCTTTTATACCTCTTGTACTTTAATGATGATGACAAGCATATTGAAAAAGTCTCCAAGCTATTCAAAATTCTAACACATATTTTCAATGACCGTCACAATTCGCAGGCTCATGACTAACGGGTGCCTCTTTGGACAGTTTTGACACTAGGAGTTGACTTAGTTTTGAAATAATTCTGCCTAGTGCCTACTAGGGTTTTTGTTGACCTAACCATACACTACAGTCTACACGGCCATGCGCCAGTGATCGATTCACGGTTGTTCTAATCAGGCCAGGCTCGATCGATCAGTACATGTGCGCGCGGCTCAAAATCTGATCGACCGCGCCGGTCACACTGGATAAGAGCAATACAATATTTGCACATAATTCAAACTTTGCGGCGTACATTATTGTAGGACTTAGACTGTGACCGGTGTTAGCACATACTTTCCATGGATACCAACCCTAATTATCCTTCGATCAGATACTAAGTTCGTGGTTTGCTTCGGCTGCAGTAACAGACATTAAACGATAATTGGAAAATTGAGACAGTCACAAATATTTGGCTGATAATTAATTAAGACAATTAAATACAATGAACAGATTAAAGATCAACCTTCTTTATGTAAAAACTAAATTTGTCCACTGTAACAAATACATTATGTATGAAATCCGATAGTTCAGCCACAAAGATTTTTAAACAATAAAACATTTAAACGTATAGATTTTTAGGCGATATATAGGCGATTAATCTCAATGCTTTGTTTAATAGATTTTAACTCATACGATATTCAAATAATCGGTTATTTTGATAAATGGGTTTTGAATCTCTAACCGATATAAATTTTACAGTCTTATGACTTATCAACGTTCAACAGTTTCAACATTCATTTTCCCTTTAAACGACGATCTTAGATACAAGTGAGGTCACGTTTAGTAGTCGCCATTTCCTCATCATCGATAATCTCTTCAATTCTGTGTCTCTGAAAATAAAAATAAAGATAATAACACGATCCAGGTTTCTGAATAACACATTTTTTCATCAGTGTGTATTTTCTGATCACAGTAGTATTTTAGCTCTATTTAAAAGTTGCTAAAGGTTTTATCAGCCTGCGATTTTCAGTCTAAACATACACTTTGTACAACGAGATATTGGACCAAAATATCTACAATTAACTTATCGACAACATTTCAAAATCAACCCATGGATCATGGTTGAATGTGTTGTAACAGAATGCCATGACTAAAATGAGTAAAGATGTGCTGCTCATTGCATCTCAAATTACTTAACTTGAAATGAAGCGCTCATTGATTTGTAAAGTGAACACGTTGAACTGTTCTGTAAAAGTTATGGCAGAGAAAAGTACTTTTCACTGATAAAATTTTACAGGCAAGTAAGTTATGCTTGCTTTACATTAAAAGTTGAATAAATGAATCTCATAATAAGTCATGCATTCATTAGTAAGTAAGTTCATAAAATATCAAGAAACTTACATTCTACAGAATTTTAAATTTAATCAATAGAAATGATAGAAGTGGTTTCGAAAATTTAATTGCTGACCCACAATAGGGATAGTCACTAATTGAACTTGAATTAATCAATTAATCAATTAATTGAAGTGGCACTCACGTCGTTTTTCAACATATTATCGGTTTTGCTGAGTAGGAAGTTATTTTTCTGTGGCACGAGTGCCTGCAGTCGCACTGCTCGGATAGAGGTAGGCTGGTAAGCTATCATCTGTTCCAACTCTCCGTTCTGAATGAGAGATCGTGTGATAATGGTGATTGGAAAGAAAAGACAACATATTCATATTGAATTGGTCGTCAAATCATGCTATACAATAGTATGCACTCACGGCATAGATGATTTGTTACAATTTCAGTTTACAATTATTGTTGTGTAGTAATCTCGAACTATAACCAGACTATTAAAAATTGGCCAAAATTTGATTAGGTAACATGTGAATTGTGAACGACCCCTGAGTGAGTAACAAAACAATAACAGTGCATTATTCACCAGCTCATATCCGTCCTTGTCGATCCACTATCCTCATGCCACCTGCACTCACGGATCAATCGGGACCGTTTTTTGGCCGGGACTGGGGCTGGGACTGGTTAAAAGTGCCGAGACCAAGACTAAGATCGGGATCAGGATTTTTTAGTTACTCAAATTATATAACTAGCATTTTTCCGAATCTAGATACTTATCTTACTTTGGTTTATCCAAACATCCATATGATTGTACATTGCAACCGATCAATAACATAAGCTGAAGGTACAATTACAATTAGGCCAGAGTCTGCTAAGGAAGTGCATTCAATACTTTCTTCCCACGACAAATCACAAATTTTCTTTTAAATTAAAACACTCAGTGACACTGCAAGATTTTTGCTTCAATTTTGTTAACTGTGGCATGCTAACAAGCACCAAAATCGATCTTGAACAGATAATACAAAAATTGATCTTTGTTTCCCTGGTCCTTCACTACTTTTACGGGGTACATTTCGTTGCTCGGCAGAGTCAGAACTTCAGAACTGTAAGTCTAACTTTTTTGTTGAGTAGTTCCATCTCATGAGAATTAATTAAACTTTACAATTCTCAGTTCCTGAGAATGATAGCCTGGGCAACTAAATGTTTTGATGAGTAGTGCCATCACATGAGAATTATTCTTTCAAGAAAATATATTATTTTTTCCTGAATAGACTCAGTGATGACAATTTTCTAATGAATGTAAACTGGAACTGTAATGTACCTATCCATACTAACATGCACATTGCACAGTATAACAATACAGAGTTGCAGACACAGTTCCAGATGCTTCTAGAAGATCTAGAATGAAAACATTTGTTAGTTTATTACCCTGACATTGTTGTATCTGATTCGTAGGAGTCGTATTCTGTTTCTTGCCTCAGCTGCCCTAAAAGTGAGATATCACGTACTTACTTATTTAATGCAGAATGGTACACTACAGTTATTTTGATTCAATAGAATTGACTACTGGTGGGGAGCGAGGTGACGTAAATACTTGTTAGAATATTTATGAAAATAATTGCCGTTATACTTCATAAGAATACCTTTTGCTATATAATTCGCAAATGATTAATACTACCCTTTTAAAATTCGCGTTTTTCCCAACTGTAATCAAGTCAATCATACCGATAATCATACCGATAATCATACCGATAATCATACCGATAATAATACCGATAATAATACCGATAATAATACCGATAATAATACCGATAATAATACCGATAATCATACCGATAATAATACCGATAATAATACCGATAATCATACCGATAATCATACCGATAATCATACCGATAATCATACCGATAATCATACCGATAATCATACCGATATTAATACCGATAATAATACCGATAATAATACCGATAATAATACCGATAATAATACCGATAATCATACCGATAATCATACCGATAATCATACCGATAATCATACCGATAATCATACCGATAATAATACCGATAATAATACCGATAATAATACCGATAATAATACCGATATTAATACCGATAATAATACCAATAACAATACCGATAATCATACCGATAATCATACCGATAATCATACCGATAATAATACCGATAATAATACCGATAATAATACCGATAATAATACCGATAATCATACCGATAATCATACCGATAATAATACCGATATTAATACCGATAATCATACCGATAATAATACCGATATTAATACCGATAATAATACCGATAATCATACCGATAATAATACCGATAATCATACCGATAATAATACCGATAATAATACCGATAATAATACCGATAATCATACCGATAATCATACCGATAATCATACCGATAATCATACCGATAATAATACCGATATTAATACCGAAAATAATACCGATATTAATACCGATAATAGTACCGATAATAATACCGATAATCATACCGATAATCATACCGATAATCATACCAATAATAATACCGATAATAGTACCGATAATCATACCGATAATCATACCGATAATAATACCGATAATCATACCGATAATAATACCGATAATAATACCGATAATAGTACCGATAATAATACCGATAATCATACCGATAATAATACCGATAATCATACCGATAATCATACCGATAATAATACCGATAATAATACCGATAATAATACCGATAATCATACCGATAATCATACCGATAATCATACCAATAATAATACCGATAATAGTACCGATAATCATACCGATAATCATACCGATAATAATACCGATAATAATACCGATAATCATACCGATAATCATACCGATAATCACATAAATATTCATATCGCGAATCTTACTTGAGCTGTCCTATAAGTTCATTGTGCTTCTCTTGCTGCTGCTTTTCGACCTCCTTCATCCGCGTGTTCTCTGCTTCGCTACAGAAACAAAGAATTGTTCAGTCCAGTGATTTTAACACTCAGCTTCGACTATTGACCAATATAAACCCTAGAACCACTGTCACGTGTCTATATGTTAAATGCTTACATATTATGTATGTTTACTGTGCAGATGACTAATTATAGAAGAACATTTTAAAGTACAAAGTACGACGACTACATTTGGACACCTAAAATATCTAAGTGGTTATGTTCATGCAGAAATAACAATTATCAGAAATAAGCAAAATATTTAAATTTTAAATAACACATACGCATCACGTTGTCGAACTTCAAGCCTAACTCTTTTTAACGCTGCCTCCTTAGCTATTACCATCTCTTTTGATGGTTTCTCGTACTGATGAATCATGTTATGTAATAATGTTATGCTCAATAAACCAATTAAAACGCCAACCATCAGCAGTCTTATTTTCCTCTGAGAGTTAAATGAATGATTTTACTCACGTAAAGATAACGGCTCTTTTCAATTGGATTGAGTTTGGCAAGCTGAGAGGGTCGGTATTTTTTACTGCGATGCTGTGGACACCAGTGCCCATTTTCATCTTCGATATTTCCAGGGTCCATCCTTTGCAAGGTGACCTGGTCTTAGAACCTATGTAATTGAGTTTTGGTAATTAGCCCTATAAACAATCGAATTATATATAATATGGATTTAACTACTTATGTTTTTATATGTATATTGTGTATTTTTTTTAATTTGAAAATTCAATTAATTATTATATATAATATAAATCAAACGTTACATTTCAGCCATGCAAAATTACAATGACATATTTTGATAAACTAATTGATAAAAGGTACTGCAATAAAAGTTGCTTAATGTTTGGCCGGATGACAACTAACTAAAAGAGAAAAATAAACTTGATTACATAATAATTAATTCGGCTGAACCAACACATAGCAAGAGCCACATTAACCACCCTACGCGCGTGGGGTGGACTCCTGGGGTGGACTTTTATTCAGCGCGTATTTTGTAGCCTGTTCAACTTGACGTTTTGATTCGTTACTATCTCAATGTCACAGATACACAGAATGTGAGGTGATCATCTTAAAGAGAAACGTCTCAGCTTTCACCTGGTGTAAAGTTTATCTTTGTACTCAAAATATAGCTCGCTCAGTGTGCAATAGAAGTTGACAATACAATAACCACGTCTGCGACCGGTCGTCAGATACCGGAGTGTTGCACAAAATTGGGTCCCTAAATTAAAATTCTATGACACAGTTACCATGCAGAAATGTCTGGAGTAACATTTGGTGAAAATTTGAAGGGTCTACTGTAAATATTGCAAAAGTTATTGAAAACAAACTAGCTTAATCAGAAGTTTTTGGGAAAATTTCAAATTTTGTACGTAGTGGGGTCTACAGGGGTGGACTCTTGCGGCGCGCATCTGACGGAGTGGCTTTTTCAACAGCCGTCAGTACGGCCAATATCAGAGCACAAATTATTGTGAGTAAGACCTTAATGATCAGCTATGAACCCCTCACTAGAGTAGTAACCGTATCTAAAAACAAGGAAATGTTATTCCGTCAAAGCTCAAATTTTTTACTCTTCTCAGTGCAGTTAGTGTTACTATGAATGTACTAGCTAAGTATCGTTGATCGTAGCTGCATTACACAGTAGAAAGTAACCAAGGAAGACTGCTGATTAACGAAGCAATTTCAACGTGAACAGTTCCAAAATACATAATCATGGCGACGATAGTTCAACTTGAACCTTTATAGTTTTTACAGTCTAAAATCACAATAAAATCACGTGAACTGCAAATCACAAAATCAAATCACTCAAATCTGATAGTCCCGTTACAGTACGCTTTCGTGACAACCTCAACGCTTAAAAAATAAATATTATCCAGTCTTGTGACCACCGATGGCCCTAACTCTCCCTTGTCCGCGAGGAGCATCGTTGCGACCATGGGGTTTCAGTTCTTTGTTCTTCCCACTCGGCTTCGATAGATCGAATTGGCTGGAAGTCAATCTATCAGAAAGACCTTTGTCGATCTCAGGGGCGTGGTAAATTGTGGATGTCGGAGTATAAAGCTTCCTGAAAAGATTGAGACATTCACTCGGTCTGTTGTAAATATCAAATAGTCCTTGTAGGCAGAGATTTAACTTATGTTGGGTTTGATAACTAGAGAAGGCGATTTGATATTCATTGATAGTATAAGCATATAAGCATAAGTGATAAGTTTATATACCCTTTTTATGGTACCTCGAGGCTCGATATCTGTATTCAGTAATCATCACTCAAAATCTACTTATTAAATTTATTAACTAAACAAGTTAATGTATTACCGTCCTAGAGAGGTTTCCTGAGAATTTGAAGTCTCTGTAGGTTGCTGGCATGTCTACTAAGCTCTTCGATTGAGGAGTTTTGGACCCCTCGGCGGTCCAAATGATTTATAATGCTGTGGGCATTTTCAACATCTATCGAGGTAAACGCCCTCGCAGCATAACCTGTAGAGAATGAACATGTCATCAATGTGAAGTTCAATGATAAAAATCAGAGTGGCCGATTTCAACGGGCAGAATTCTAATATCATGGCCATGGGGAATGGACTATTTTTTGTCGATTTTGCAAACCAAACTGGCAAACGATTGTTGATTTTCGTCACTAGTCTAAAATGAATGCAAACGTTCGGCCGAACATTTACATGATTAGAAACTTACCGGTTTCTTTCGTTATTATGTACAGACATGGCCGGGCTTGGGTTCCGCATACGATATCTTCTATCAGATTAAAGTTGAACCCACACTTTGTACTGCTCGTGGGAGGAGGAAAGCAAACGGAGACCTTTTCCATGAGCATCTCGTGTAGTACCATCATCATGTCGATTCTGATATCAGCTGCAAAATTCGTCTATTACTAAATGCTAGCTTTTCGAACTTCGTATCTTGGAAATAACAACTTCTATGAAAGAACACACACACACACACACACACACACACACACACACACACACACACACACACACACACACACACACACACACACACACACACACACACACACACACACACACACACACACACACACACACACACACACACACACACACACACACACACACACACACACACACACACACACACACACACACACACACACACACACACACACACACACACACACACACACACACACACACACACACACACACACAGATACACACACCCACAAACACATACAGACATAGACACACACACACAGAGACACAGACATACAGGCATACAGGCATAAACACAGACACAGACGGACACACAGACAGACACACAGACAGACACAGTAACGCACAGACAAGGACACGCAGACACACACCCACAAACACATACAGACATAGACACACAGACACAGGCATAAACACAGACACACACAGACACAGACGGACACACAGACAGACACAGTACACACAGACACACACAGACACACACAGACACACACACATAAACACACATAGTTCACTTCAGTGCACTACATTACAATTACAGACACACGCAGTACAATCAGAGACACACACACGATACAAAGACAGACACAGACACAAACACACAGAGTACACTTCAGTACAATCACAGACGCAGGCACAAAGACATATACAAGAAGAGCAGATTGAAGTACCTTCATTTGCAGATGTTGACGCATTGATCTGTGGGATATGTTCTTCAGTCTGTAACTGATCATCTGCTAGAACTGTCTCATCTGGATCAACCGGAGGAGTATCTTCCGGCAGGAGTCTGAGTGGGTCTATCGGGACAGCCATGGATCGCTCTCCCTACCTTGTTGAATTAAAGACAAAGGTCAACGACGGATGTCGCATGTTAGTCCTGTAACTAAATGTAATCCAAAATAGTGAATAAATAATTTTTACATCTGAACGATTGTATGTCTGAATGGTGATTTTTAATCAATGAACAAAAGTTCAGGATTTTACCTTCTGTTAAGCTGTTAGCAATGACTCTAGCACCCTCTCCCTACAAAACGACCATATCTCGGTCTGAAGCTTTAAACCGTCTTGCCTCAGCAGCCATCTAGCACAGTCGACCTGTCCTGTTAATTGTGTGATCATCAAGTTACCAAATTTAATCCTTCAATATTCAAATAATTGATTATTAGACAAAACAGAGTTTAGAGCTCGACGTATGCTTCAGGGTTTCACACTGTGCTGTAATCAAACGCATGACTAAAACCTCTTGCTACTATTACCAATAAACCCATATTGTTAAGGCGGTCGAATGATTTACCTGAGTTGATCGCGTCCATGAAAGGGTTAAACTGCGTTCTGTCCAGCTTGTTAATGTCCGTTCCAGCAGCCAGCAGTGCCTCCGCCTCCGTCACTCTCCCTGCTTTGCATGGCCAGTGAAGCGTAGAGCTCCCCTCTAAGCTCTTTGACGATCCGACGAAGGATCCAGATTCCCTTCTTTTCTTTTGAGATTGCTTCAATTCTTCCTGGAGTATGCGGATTACCATTTATATACTTCCATACAGGGCGCGTGAACAATCAGCAATGAATTATCAATTAATCAATCTAGTTTTTGAGTAGAAAGTCCACAGATTGTGATACATTGGATTTGATATTGGAAAAGACATAGCTTACCAAATACCTTTTCATGGGCTTTTTGGAGGACAGGGATGACTTATTCCTGCGTGCCATTACACCATAACTATCTGCTGTAACAGCAAAAATTAGAATTATGTCGGACATAATTCTAAAAAATTGGAACATCGTAGTTAATCAGTGTGGTGCTAACAACAGAGAGCGATTTGAACGGTAGGCAATTTCATAAATTCCATTAACGCGATATAAGGATGATTGGAACAGGCTAAAATCTACTATGTAGCATTGATAACTGGCTATATCGCTGCATTAAACGATAAAAGTATTGCTAACTATGGATATTCTAAGTGATCTAGGCAGAGGGGAACCGGCACAGCCAGATTGCGTTGTCTTCAGTGACTAAGTTTCACGATAGTAAAATTGACCTTATTTATTTTAAAAAGGATGCACAGTTCAAGCAATAAATCGATCAGCTGCTCATATGATATTTGCATTTAAAGGAGGGCCCAGTGCAGTGACAAGTAAGTCTGTTAAGGCAACATTTAGTTCTGAGATTAGCTGAGTCTTGACAAAGATAAGTTGAGTTTCGAGAAAGTGCACACGGATAAAGTTATCAAGTGAAAATGATAAGACTAAGTTAGGGTCCAGTCAACAGAATGGCAGCTGTAACAGAAACAGTTCATTGGATAGGAGAGTAGGGGATTATGACGGAGTGAAGTTTATATAGCAGGGCAAACAAAAAACAACTGACAGCACTGAGCAAGTGAACTGGAAAATTGAGGAAGGGAAATAACTGTGGTTGTCAGCCCTTTCCGTAGCAATCAGGATTTCCCACGAGATCGATCAGGCAATCAGGATTTCCCACGAGACTGCTCCATCCGATGCGCGCACTTTTGTCACGTGACGGCCACGTGACGCTCAAATCGTTGTCACGTGGTACAGAAGAGAGGTTCCTAGAGCGTTGATCTCGACAAGAGGGAGTTTCTCACGGTTTATCTTCAATAACTATCGCTATTTTTATAGTAGAGAGTTGAAACTTTCACC